CTTGGGACAGCACTAACAGATCTGTCCTTTCCTTGGTAATGTGTTCCTACAAAATGTGTAAGATGTTTTTGTTTAAATATATATATACCTGTCATATTGAAATGAAATTAGCTAACAGGTTTGCAACAAATAATTTCTTCACACCCAGAATGCGAACCTTGTTTGCGTGGGAAAACTGAACAAACAGAACAGTGTGAACCTTATTTTTTTAGGAAAATGTGCATAAAACCCCAAACCCTCTGATGATAGTAGAGTCAGTGATCCTACAGCTTGAATGACGGAGACTGTATGATGACTTTTTTTCATGGGGAATTTAAAGCTTCGCTTTCTTCGTGAGCCCAAATACAATGTGAATTTTTCACAAGTGTGTGAGTCTGTATAATCCTCCCTAATCTTGTAGTATTGGATTCCTCTTAACATTAGCTGCTGAAAGTTAAGTATCTCTCCTAAACCAGTCATCTAAGACAACTCCTCCCCCACATGGCCCATAGCAATGCCAGGGTGATTCACCTCACCTGTTTTACTCACCTATCCTAGAATGGGATAAATGGCAATCGGGAGGCACTTATCTCTTTTGCTTGACTACAGAAGGAGCCTAGATGACTGGCTTCGATGAGCCACCTGATTTGTAGGTGGTTATAGACCAAGGAGACTACAGCTTTTGATCTCAGTGTATAAGTTTTGTTTCCAAAGATGTTTTCTTAGTGCTGAAAGGATTGCTTATATGTATATATGCACATAGTTGTATAAATAATACCGCCTTTCTTATTAGTTGGTGTTTTGTGTTGGGATTTGTGTGCACCTAAGTGATTGGTACTTAAGTGTATAATATTGTGTCCCAGAAGTAACAAGGCAAAACTGAAATGTTTGTATGCAGGCACAGTAATTCCCTTCCCACAGAGGAACTGGGCAGCCCTCACTGTAATGAGGGAAACTCCCACTAGTTTGGTACCTGAGAAAAGCGAGTCTATGCTAATCTAAAATGGAATAAATAATCTTTGTTATGAAGATTCAGTAAATGTCCACCATATCTGTATCCTTTTAGCTATGGAGAAGGATGTCTGATCTCGCATGTATCCATGGAGCAGAATATCAGCAGAGCCCAGCTCAATTCAATTCTGTGACAGGTCTAGATCTGTGGCAATGGGCAAGTGCTTGTATCTGTGTTTCCCCATGTTTAGTGTTTTTCTGTATTGCTGAGGAACCCCAGTGCCCGGATATTTTCAATATACTAACCCCCAGTTATACAGAGCTCCTGCCCTCCAGCGTGCCAGGCAACAGTGATGGACACCCTCCAGCGCTTGGTGCCCCACTGAGCCAAGAGGAACAGGCCAGGTACTGAGTTCCTCTACCTTGGTGGCTATGTAGTCTCCTTGAAAGTGCTGAGCTGGAAAGTAGCAGTGGTGAGAGCTCAGCTGCAGTGCTGTCGCAGTACCTGGTCTTGCTAGCCACTTCCCGTGACATGAACATTGGCCAGGTGACTTGTGGACACACACAGGGGCTGTGGGGTCTTTCTGAATTATCCTTCTGAATTCTAGGCTGCTGATATCTGGGAACCATGAGGACAGGTCTATGCCACATCCCTGTACCGCAGTACTGAGACACGTGTCATGAGGTTTAAGGCATAGAGCTGGCTATTCTTTGCAATTCATCAGACAAGCGCCCTGGGAGCTCTGTTGCAGAGTTTTTCCTGCTGTCAATGATGATTTTTCGTGCAGGCTGCGGGGGCTGTTGCATGCTGAGGCTGCACGTGAATGGCCCTGGAAAACTGTTGGAGGAGCAGGAGTAGGGAGCTTTGGTAAGAGCTGGCGGCAGAGATGGTATAGGGAGCTAGAGGGTAGCTAGCTGGGCACACCTCACCAACAGCCAGCGGGGATTTAACTTCAAGTGCTCTTGGAAGCTAACTCACTAATCAGCTGATGTTTGTGTTGTTTTGGTTTTTTTTTTTTCTTCCAAATGGCAGAGACAGGGTGAAAAAAGCATGTCTTGAAGGCAAGAGTCTGACCTGACAAGGCGAGCTCTGAATTAGTGTGGTTATGGTCTGCTTTCCTTAATTTCTTGTAACGTTAAAAGCATTGAGAAATGATCAAACATCAGCTGATGATGTTTGGGTTGACTATCATCTAGCAGTGATGATGGAAGCGGAAGTGGCACAGAAGAGAACCTCAGCTGTTGGCAGTTGAAAAGACAAAGTTAATTTAGTGGAGCTGAGAGGATTTTTTCCACCCATATCATGTTATATTGTGACACAAGTGGAAAGAGCTCTTGATTCTCTGGGCTGGATTTTGGCTTCCCCCTGATTTTTGCAGTAATATAATACTGTGGGAGTACTACTTTGGGCAAAATTGCTTCTTTTTTTTTTTCTTTCACAATCTTAAGATGCAAAAATAAGAATCAAGTTTGTGAATACAGTTTAAACCTCTGTACTTTTACCCTAATAATGTGAGACACAATCTGTGATGGACTTTAAAAGGCTTGGATAATTTGCTGAGGTTCTTTGGATAACAGATAAAAAATATCTCATAGTCAATACAAGGATCTCAAAATTGCATATATTTTGTGGAATGTTTTTGGCTGAAGTTGATTATATTTTTATGTGGTTCCTTATTAATTATTTAATGACTTGGATTAATTTTAGAACCAATATCCTTTTTACTCTGTTCTGTCAAAAAGCCTGTGCTTTGAAAAAATAACGTCCTCGTTGCAAAATCTAAGAATTCACAAACATTTCCTCCGTGAGCCAATTTTCCTGACCTCAGCCATTGTGTTGTCCATTCTCCTCCAAAAGAGAAGTTGAAAAGGAGAGAGAGACAAAGAGGAAAAGGGATCACAGTATCTCAATTTTATTTTCTTTCCTGAAAAGTATTCTCTTTGGACAGACAGTAATTGTAGTTTCTAATGACACAAACTTGAAGGGAAACAGAAGAAGACTACAAACAGCTTTATGGGCCTATCAGCAGGAATATGTGGCTACAAATTGCTGAGTAAATGAAACAGCCTGTTGTTTCCTAAGCCCGAGTTTGAGAGTGTTATGCCAAAGTATTTGAGGAGGAGCTAGAGCACCAGGCGGTGTAAAGGATACCTGCTGGGTCCTAATTGGTGCCCACTGTTGTTAATGGCTTCCTGTGGCTGAATGTTTACTTGTCATTTGTTTTGTGCTTTGTTTCCCAGCTACTGGAAGTTAAAAAAAATACTGACCAAAACTTTATTTTGCTTTTAAGTGGACATCCCTGGACATCAAGTGCCGCGCTGCAAATTGTCTCATGACGCTAAGTACCTTGAGTCTACTCCTCAGACCGTAATTATCTGCTATGCCTCAAAAGTTACATTTCCTTTGGACTTTGTTTTTGAATTTGGAAAATTTTCTGATTTATTACAGTACATATTAATTATATAACTGATAAAATTATGCAATGTAGATAACTGGGGTTTTGTCTACTGCAAGGCTGCATGGTTAGACATTTAAAAATACCTCAGTCTATTTTTAAGCATTTGTTTTCCTAAAATATTCATTTCTCCCATAAATATCAATTTTTGTGGGATACCTGTGAGTGGTCTGTGAAAGATGAGGAAAAACAAAACCCTGCGTTCTCAGAACTTCCCTAAAAAAGAGACCCCACGTGTGGTACAGCCATCGTCTGCTTTAGTGTTGTTTTTTTTTTTTTCTGTTCTAATCCAAAGGGACTGAAAAAAAAAAAACCTGTCTCTGGGTCAATGTTTCAGACCCTTTGCTCACTCTGTCCTTGGTTTCCCTAACAAGATGGTTAGTTCCAGCTATGGTGTGAACACCTCCCTGCTGGGAAAAAGGAGTGAAACTGCTATTTTTAACTAGGCTACCGAATAGTTCATGGTGAATAACCGTGTACACACATTGCTGATCAAGAAAGAATTAGAACTAGTGAAAACTTCCTAATCCTATAATCTTGAGTCATCTGCTTCTCCTACATGGGGTTTGGGGAAGGGGGGAGGGAGGGGTGGTGAGTGATATTGAGGCAGATTTAGTTTCAGTAGCCCTTGAAAACAATGCAGACCTGTGAGGAAAAAATATCTATATCTCAGTTTCACGACTAAATCTTAGTCTGCATATCTCTAGTTGAAGAAGAACTTTTAGGTATTTGCCTTCTGTTCATAGAGGTATATGGATTGATATAAAGAAACGTAATATAGCTGCAAAGAACTGTACTTATTAGTGATAAGGCTATATTTGAAATCCACTTTGCAGCAGTAACGTGTTAGATTTGAGTCGGTGTATGAGATGTCCTTGGAGGCAAACCAGACAATGCTGGAGAAGGTTTCAATGAAGTACAGAGCGTTTTGTCTGGGGACATAAATCTAATTCCTTGATTACATTGACTGTCATTACAGCTCTGTTTCACATACCTGTCACTTCCATATGTATTTGGCTCGTACACCTTGCAGATGCAGTGTCCACCGTGTATTATCTCACGCTATTTTGTGTTACCACTCCAGATAACAGCATCTGGAGCTCTCCTTTATCAAGCACTGAGTCCAGAAGCTACTAAGAGCTGAAGGAAATTTCACCCAATGTAGAAGACTGGGATTTAGATATCGAGTTCCAGATATTTAATATGTGCTTAACTGTGTGGTAGAAAGTGGGAAGAAAGATGAGTATAAAACGGTTCCTTATTGGGCAGCCAAGGAGATTTCCACTTTGCAGGCTGATCTGAGAGAAAGCACATCCAACTAACTTGGGAGCCCTTTTCTGTAATTCCTGAAGGGTCATGATCTGTAAGAAAAAAAGAGGCATTTAAGTTGCTTCCCTCTGAGTAGGAAGATGGTGATCAAAACAATGGAGGGAGGAGTAAACAGATTTGCCCCATCTTTGAAGAGAAGCTTAGCATGTTTTAGGGTATTCTCATTCCTAAGTGTGAGTCTAACAAATCTTCTGGCATTTAACCAAGGTATTTGCTCTTTTTAAAATTTTTGTTGTTGTTATTATTGAGTCTTAAATAATCTAGTATTTTTATGTTCTCTCTCAGGTTAGAGGATTACAGAATAAAAGATTGAAGTGTGGATTCCTAAAGAAGGAAGAGGACTGAAGAAGTTCAGATGCAGATTCCACAGGGCTGTCGCAGTTCATAGCTCAAAGAAAAACCTGAGGCTATAAAATCAAACAGTTGAGTTTCTTACATACTTGGTCAAACCTGAATATTTAAACAGTTTAGATTACACAAAAATAAAAAAAAAGCCCCAAACCTAAACTGATTGCAAAAAATGGCAGCAAAAAAAGAAGGCAGCCATACCTTTAAGTGCTCACTAAAATCAATGCAACTGTGCCCATTTCTGTCACCTGAGAATCAAGCCCAGCAATGTAGTGTTATCCCTTTAGATTAATTCGTGTTTATCATGTTTTTTTAAAGCTTGTTGCAAAATGTCCCAGGCTCTAGAAAAAGAAAAACTTAAGTACATTTCAAATAGAGATACAAAACACCAAAACCCAAAGTAATATTCTTTCAATTATTTTAACAAAAAAGAAGCTAGAGTATGTAGAAAGTCTGATTAGTTTGCCCAATGTGTTTTTGTTTTTTTTTTTTTTAACAAGTGGTTTTCATGATTAACTGTAATAGTGTATTAAACTGATTCTTCACAGACAGTAATCTTTGGGTTAGGTTGTGATAATTTATATATCACTTGCTCATTTTGATCCTTTTAAAAGTCATTGTGATATGCACATTGATTTCTCGGTTTTGTTACATTGCTTGTTTCTTAACTTTACCTTATTATTTTATGCCTTTATGCTGGTTTATACCCTAATTTTTGCAATAACCCTGCAAATATGTGTTTGGTTCACTGCAGCTATTCCATTAATCTAAACTTGCCTGTTGAATCAAGACAACCAAATCTACGAATTAAGGGAAAAGAGTAGTGCTTGACTAAAACTGTTTCCTTGATTTATATAGAGACGTCTCAGTCTCCATCAGTAGATCTGGAGCATAGTTTACTCTGCACTTACACTCTGCTTATAGTGTAAAATATCTTGTCTTACACAAATCTGAGTACTATGACATCAAGAAACTAAACAATAAGAGGTAAATGCCAGTCTAGAAACTGAGTACTGGAGTGTTTGAAAGCTGTTAGGACTGAATCATTTTTATTCCTTTCACAAGCCAGCAGTAGAATTTTGATTATGGTTTTGCTTTGACTTTACAGTGATTGCTGCCAAAATTTTGCCTTCCTGCACCTTTGTAAGAACCAGAATGGAGCAGCCAGCTGTTGTTCCTCTAAGCCAAAGATGTGGGCAGCCGAAAAAAGTAAGCAATTTATGTTATACTTAAACAAAAACACTTGTCCCTTCAAACAGTGTTACTCAGACTCTTGAATTATGTCATCCAAGTAATTTCTCCCTGTGTCTAAGCTGTGCTCAGTACAGGAGAACAGCAGAAGCAGCTGCTGTGAATCAGTCTGCTCTGGCAGGAGAACCACTGCCTTGGTCCTTGTCAAGGACCTGCCTCTGTGCTTCAAATGCTTATACAGGCAAAATAATTCTTTTGCTGATAGATGTTCCCTGAAATGAATAAATTCTTCCTGCGGAACAGCATTTTTAGCTGTTAGGCTATGTCTTCACAGGGGTTTTGCTAGAGTAGTTGTGTCCCATGGTGTGGGATTGCTCCCTGACTTCCCTGCAGTATTCTTAAGTCATACCATATGGCTGCCTGGCAAGGTTTAAAATGTGGACTTAGCTTTAGGAACATGCTCATCAGGATTCTCAGTTCTTCATAACTTCCTAGTTATGAAGAATGAGAATTAACACCTTTGTCTCGGAGAGCTTGGGATGATCCTTTTCATTTTACTGTAAATTCAAGAGTGAACTCATGTCCACCTGCATACTACTGGAATAACATTGTACTGTGTGGTGGGAACTTCAAGGAGAAAAATATTAATTATTCAGACAATGTTTTCAGACTAGGGAAGCTCTGTGTTGGATTCAGGAATCTGCTGCTGCTGTTAGAGGGACACAAAAGAGCTGAAGAAAAGAGCCTTGGTGAAGGTATCAGAGTTTCAGTGCTCCACACAGAAACTAAATGGCAATGAAGCAGGGAGAGTGAGGGTAGACAAATGGAAGAGGAGTGACACTGAGATAGGGAGGGTGCAAATATTTAGGAGAAGCTTGATTGGTGTTTGCCCTCCTTTTCTTGGTAGACCATCTTCCCTTCCAGCTCATTACTGCCAGGTGTCCTATGTGAAGGGGCTGCAGACTGAAAATGCAAAATGGTATGTTTAAAGCATGGTGATGAGGAATGCTTGGAGAGACTCAACAGCACTCCCAGTTCCAATTTCATTAATTGGGGAGATTGATTCTGCTGTCTGAAAACAGTTTGGGTAGAAAACACTTTTCAAATAAGCTGGCAATGAAAACTGCTTGCTGAAACAGCAGCAGGATATGAAGGAAAGCAAAAAATATCTCCCATTTTTACTTCAGGCCTCTTCTCACCTCCTCCCCTCAACCTGGCTTGTTTCCCCTCTTTGTGTACAGTTCACCAGCTGTGCCCTGCGAGAGGAGCTGGGGTGGGCCGCGTTCCTCACACCTCTGTGCAATGCACACATCACTCTCCCAGTAATGCCAGACTTAGCAGTATTTCTTGGGCCAGACTGTCAGGTTGCTGTGGATAACTGAGGGTTTAATTTGCAGTTTGCATTCTTTTCCTAAGTACTGAATGCTCTGGGGAGAAGTCAAAAGCAGTCGTACGATTATGAACTCAATGGTTCCATCCATCTATCTTTTAATTTAGTGAAGTCAGTTCTGTCTGAAAGGTATTTCACATGTTGGGCACAGTAAACTCATTCATATTGCAAAGGACAAAAATAACTTCCCGTATCTAGAGGAACGAAAAATTTGGTGAGCCTTAGTCTCTTCTTGCCAAATTAAATATCCTAATCTTAAATCCAGATTTTTTTTTGGTGCATATAGGTATACAGGTGGTCATTTTGTGCCTAAATTTATTTGGGGCATATAATTTGCAGTATAAATTCCTGTGTTTACAGTATAAATTAAGTACACGGTCCCATACTAGAACGTTCTGTTTAATGTGTTTTATAAATTTAGAGCCTATTTATCAAATGATAACCTAGACAATGAAACAGTTTGAAAGATGAGAGACTATGTAGATTTTTGTTTGAGAATTCTAGAATAGAAAATTAGGAGTTTTGTCCTGTATATTTTTATTATATGGTTTAAACTTCTAACCTTTGAACAGCTTGGAAGGAATCACCACTGGTGAATTCTGGCAACATCGCTACAAAGTAAAGAAATAGTTGTATAAATGAGAAAACTGAGGGGTGGTGTATCTGGTCTGCTAAGGCTATTTTGCAGTATGAAAAGATGAGATTTTTGTCTTATTTCTCTCCTCTTATGCCCTCCTCCCCCCTTTTCTTTTTTTTCCTTGATTCCTGTGGTGGAACTGGAAGCAGAAGTGAGTTTTCTTTGAAACTAGGTTATTTGGCTTGAAAGAAAACAAACAAACAAAAAGCAAAACCAAAAAAATGCTAGGAAGTGTTTTGAGATGGAACGTTAACCATCTTTTGGTTTAATTTTAAAATACTTTTCTGGGTCTCCTTAACATGAAACAGTGATGCTTCATTTGATGTTATCATACGAAACAGCTTTTTTCTCTTCTCAGAACAGCTGAAACCAAACATCATAGTAACTGATCATCAAACAACTTTCTCTCTGTCTCCAGACTTCCAGTGTATCCATCGCTGTTATCTAGGTGATGGTTACATCAGCAGTGTTTGGAGAGAGGACTCTTCTTCAGGCTACCACTCACCCAAGCAGTGTTGGTTGCTTTCTGTTGTGACTGAAAAGAGAAGCTACAAAGTAATGCCCCCATCCCAGAGCAGCAGCAGAGCCCTGACGCTGGTCCAATGTCTTTATCTCCAGTGGTGAGGAATGGGCCTGCCAATGCCCCACTACTTGCTTGCACAACTTCAGCTGGGTCTCTTGCAGCTGCTGTCAATGTCAAGGCAGCACATTCTTCCTGTGGGAAAGATGCAGTGACAAACTATATTACAGTTAAGGGATTTAAACTATAAGACTGAGGCTTTGACAGTGGCCTCTACCGTGACAGGAAGAGCTGAGTTGTCTGATGCAAAGAACACTTTTTTTTTTATCAAAAGAGATCTTCAGCCTCTTGTCTAGGTTAAGACCCAGCCTCACTCCTCCCAGCTAGATTTTTCCCAGAGAAAAATGTGCTGTGAAGTCTTGAGGGCCATGAAGTTGTGCAGGTCTTCCTCAGTTAAATTGAAGATGGAAGAAGATATCACTGTCAGGTGTGGATTTACCTGGGTTCAGAGAGAAAGCACAGAAAGGGTGATGAAAAGAGATTTGAATTCTCCTGTTCATACTTGCCATCTGCTGTTTCTGAGATGACAACTTGCCTCTATACTAGCTCCAGTGTGGTGCTAGGGCTTCTCTTTAGCACTTCTAGGGCTGGAAAGAAATGGCAACACTGCACAACAGCGGTGTGCTGTTTACACCCCTTTCCCAACTGCAGCCCCTCATGGCAGGATCTCTTCTACAGCATCATCCGGTATGGAGGATGCCCCAGCCATCCTGCTGCCACCCTGTCTACCTGCACAGCCACCACCACAGCAATAATGGGGCACTTCAGAGCAAAGCACTGCCTCAGTTGTTGGACAGTAGATACCTGTAGATGAGGGAAAGGGCAATGACCCAGTTGCCTCTTCAGACCGTCCACGCTCTCGAGTATCATCTCAGCCTTTCCTGGGTAGCACTGTACTACAAGTGGTTACCTCAGGCATTGCCCCACGTTGGTAACAACGTGACCTAGACAATAATAAATGAACAGTTACGTGAGCTGTGGGTAGGATTTAGCATTGGAGCACGGGGCTTTTGGCAGCTTCGCTTTGACTCTAATGTGGACTTCTTGCCTTTGGCTCGCTGTAGGCTGGAAGATACCAAATGGTATCTTTTGGCTGTAGGCTGTAAGCAAATCTTACTCTTTCTCTTTTTTTCATCTGGCAATCACAGTCTTTGAGCCAAACCCAGGAGCAGTTTGCAGTGTACTGCTGTGATGAGTGGACATCCCATGCAGAACAGTGGGGCTAGGGCAGGCTTCATGGGTTTGTGCAGGCTGGCAGGAAGGCTGACTTGGACAGCCGTATAAGACTAACACCAATTTATTCCATTGCCATTAAAAGTAGCTTTGAGGCCATGTTTGTTTACATCTTTGCTGTTTGGGTAGATGTTGCTTCTATAAACTGTAGTTTTGTCTATTTTTAAAATTACTTTTCCATAGGATTTAGCCACCAGCTGAGGCCTTTAGGAGGATTTTGATTAATTTGTATGCAGCATGTGGATCTGGCAAAAAACAGCATGAAGGAAAGGTGAATTTTATCCCTATAAACAGAGCAAAAGTGAAACCACACAAGTATAACTTGTATTGTTCTTTATTTAACGGAAAAAGCCACGCATGAACTTCTGTCTAGTCTGGATCAGCTGTGGGAAGGCCAAATGGTGCACTCGGAGCAAGTCCTAAATGATTTCCCTCTGTGAAAGCACCCTGGGGTCCCACCAGTGTAAGTGACAGCAGAAAATGGGTCGCAAATGCTGGAGGTGAAAAAGCACCCTCTCTTAGCTTTTGGAAAGAGGTTTATTTGTAGACACTTTCAGGTGACTTTCTGTAATTGTTCCCAAACGAAGGGAGGATTAGCTCAGATATCACCAAACCGTGAGGAGGCCTTTCATCCTGCCCCCGGCCAAGGGTGGGCCACACGGGCCCTGTTTGCCTGACCCAAGGCAAATATGGCTTGGCTCAGTCCTTGTTTCTATATGCTTGGCTGAAGCAGGAGTGATTGCTCACAAATAGGTGAGAGAAAAATAAAGCGGAGAAATGAAGGGGCAGCCTTTTATGCGTGAAAAGGGGAAAAGGCCACTTGAAAATGACTCGAAGCCCAAAGTTTTCAGGCTATTACACTGGCAGAATGGTAAGAAGAGAAAACGAAGTGTAGCTGAGGTATTTTTTGAAGAATTATACTCCATGGAAAACAGCAAGTTGAGGCCAGGAGTTTGGAGGGGCTGGTTGAAATGACTTGGCACCAACCAACTTGGGGCAGCTTAATGCTGTCCCCAGTGTGGGGGCAAGAGAAGCAAGAGGGGGAAAATGGCACGTGTGCAGGTTGGCTTCTGGATGTTTGCTTTCGTTCCCCCTAGTATTTTGCATTTTAGGAATATATTTCTAGTCACACAAGGAGATGCAAGTAGGTACAATAACTGAGCAGTTCTGTAGTGATA